CCCGCTCCTCTCCCTTCCCAGGAGGGGCAGCCCTTCCAGCCCTTCCCAGGAGGGGCAGCCCTCCCAGCCCCTCCCACTCATGGCTCCAGACAGGGACCCACTGAACTGGGTCTGGGACACAGGCTAGTCACTGGAGAGCTGGCAGCTTCCCTCTCCCCATAGCTCTGCCAATGCCCCTCCATTCTGCCCCTCTCCTATCCCAGCTCTGGGCTCTGCACTGCCCCACAGCTCCTTCCTATCCCAGGCCCACAGCTTTGCCAATGCCCTTTCATTCTGCCCCACAGCCCCCTCCTATCCCAGCTCTGCACTGCCCCACAGCTCCTTCCTATCCCAGCCCCACAGCTCTGCCAATGCCCCTCCATTCTGCCCCACAGCCCCCTCCTATCCCAGCTCTACACTGCCCCACAGCTCCTTCCTATCCCAGCCCCACAGCTCTGCCAATGCCCCTCCATTCTGCCCCACAGCCCCCTCCTATCCCAGCTCTACACTGCCCCACAGCTCCTTCCTATCCCAGCCCCACAGCTCTGCCAATGCCCCTCCATTCTGCCCCACAGCCCCCTCCTATCCCAGCTCTACACTGCCCCACAGCTCCTTCCTATCCCAGCCCCACAGCTCTGCCAATGCCCCTCCATTCTGCCCCACAGCCCCCTCCTATCCCAGCTCTACACTGCCCCACAGCTCCTTCCTATCCCAGCCCCACAGCTCTGCCAATGCCCCTCCATTCTGCCCCACAGCCCCCTCCTATCCCAGCTCTACACTGCCCCACAGCTCCTTCCTATCCCAGCCCCACAGCTCTGCCAATGCCCCTCCATTCTGCCCCACAGCCCCCTCCTATCCCAGCTCTACACTGCCCCACAGCTCCTTCCTATCCCAGCCCCACAGCTCTGCCAATGCCCCTCCATTCTGCCCCACAGCCCCCTCCTATCCCAGCTCTACACTGCCCCACAGCTCCTTCCTATCCCAGCCCCACAGCTCTGCCAATGCCCCTCCATTCTGCCCCACAGCCCCCTCCTATCCCAGCTCTACACTGCCCCACAGCTCCTTCCTATCCCAGCCCCACAGCTCTGCCAATGCCCCTCCATTCTGCCCCACAGCCCCCTCCTATCCCAGCTCTACACTGCCCCACAGTCCCTCCCTATCCCAGCCCCACAGCTCTGCCAATGCCCCTCCATTCTTCGGCACAGCCCC